AATACTGGCACACTCTCTGGCAGTGCTCATCTTCTGTTTACAAATGCAGGYAGGTAATGGGCAGGCATTTTGCTACTGTGGAAGCAGGAATTACATATAGCTCTAAAATTTCTAAGCTATATGCTAATTTTCTAAGATAATTTTCTAAGCATGAAAATCTCTTACAATCAGCAGAAACACGTATCCAGTTCTGATGGGGAAACCTAAYGCAGGAGGCCTGAATCTCCCTCTGAGACCACTCTGCATGAAATGCTTAAATGAGACATTTACTTTAATACAGCTAAAATGAAGCAAGGGGAATTGCACAGCAGCTGACCCTTTATTCCATTTTGGTTCTATGAAAAATGTTATTATTTTAGGTTATATTGTAGTAACACTCAAAAGCAGTATGGGTATGATGATGAGACACAAAGTAATATGCAATCCCTATAGCTACGAAGATGACAACTCAAGTAATTAAGGGATGATCCTGCTTTTAATTTTGAAGCTTGACTGAAAAGAAATATAAATGCCAACAGGCAGTTAAAATATATAAGATATGATTCATAAGACATCATAATGCCAAAGTACTGACATCCCATGATGCTTAGACAATAGCATGACTGTAGACTTTTGGCTATAATATTAATAAAAAAGAATTTATCTAGCTAAGCATTTCCAGTACATCATTCTGTCTGAGAGCTGTTCTAAAGTGCTGCCTGTTTATTCATRGCTTGGATTCCAATATATTGCTCTTCATTTAAAGTAAAATGAGGAAGTCTTATGTAGTGCTTTTCATGTAGAAAGATCCCTGAGGCTTCCTGAAATGTTTGTTTTTGTTGTTGTTGGGTTTTTTCTTTTTTAATTTTAGCACTCACATAACTGGCAGAAGAAGGCTGATCATGAGCATAATGCAGTGGCACCTCAAATTGTTTATCTCCAGGAAACTGAGTGGTTCATGCACGGGACACAGTGCAATCCTCAGGTGTCCCCTTTCCTCACTGCGGGATGGAGCTGGGCTGGATCCATGGGTAGCAGCCCTTACCACTTCCTCCCCACCCACAGATTTGGGTCACCTGGCAGCTCCTGTGCCAACATTAGCCCCACTGGTAACAAAAATGCCCCAGTCCCATCCCTTAAATTGCTTGTGGGAGGGTTGACTCAGAGCTGTCACTTGATGACTGAGTAAGGAAGCCAGACACTAGGAGAAAGGGTTGATCTCATCCATCACTGATCCTCAAATGCGCTCTTGGTGACTCCTTTCAACTTCCTGCCTCTCTGTCTTTCTCACATATGTTCAGCGATAGTTTTCGAGTCTGGATACAGCCAGGGGGGTTGCAAGGCATTTCAGTCATTTCATGCACAGGCTGTTGGCACGTGTGGGGAGGAACTTTGTTAAATCTGCACCTGGCATGGTCAGCAATACTACATAACTACACACTTAACTGAATGTAACACTGGAGCAAGGCAGCTATCGCCATCAGAAATGCCTGTGCCTCTTTGACAAGACATGGCAAAATACCCAGGAATTTTAGGTAGCTTCAGCAAAGTGTCACATTCCATTTAAAGGTGTGGATATGCAGTATCTGTTGGAGGAGACAGTACATATCACAGCAAAAAAGAAAAAAAAAAAAAGCTGTCTGAGATAAGAAAGGGTCAGGAAACACTGATGGAGAGTGTCAGGTTTCAGAGCAGGGACAACGGCTTGCGCGGTGTCTAATGCAAGAGAGATAAAAAACTTGATCAGTCCTAAAGTCTCTTTAGGAGACGAATGGCTAATGCTTACATATAGAAATGATATGGAGAGGTCAGTAAGGTCAAGAATACAAAAGACAGGGAAAGCCAGTGTTCCAGCTGGCCTTGCAGCTCCTTTTCTTTGTCCTTCACAATTTTTCCATCATACACCAGTTGCCCCCACCCTGAAAGCCTCAGACTGAGGGTTTGCTCGCAGACCAGAGATCCCTTCAATATTTATACTCCTCATTCATCTACGTACAACATTATACTTCATTTAATAAAAAATAACCATTTTTTTTTATGAGGTATTTCCCTCTGTAATATCCATGGGTGTCGCATACAGGAACAAATGTATCTCGCAACACTCCCATGAAGGAAAGTGCGTCTGGGGAATGAGGCTGGCTGTAGCCAAGGCTAACACTGCGAACACTGGCCATGAAAGTGGGAGCCCAACATGTGATGCTGTTAGTCACTTTCTGAGGAGCAGGTAGCATTTTATAATATTTTATTTGTTCACAGCATAGCTCCTACTGCATCCATGGGTGCTTGGCATCTGTAAAGCTGATCCCAAACTGATTTAAACTGAGCCAGAGCAGAGTGGTCATGCATGCCCTGGCTGGCATCCACGCRCGAGCTTTCACACAGGTATTTTGTCGTTGCCTTTTTTCTTCCTAGTGATAGAACAGCCTCACRCAAAGACATGGGCAGGCTTAAATAAAATTGCTCAGGATTTCCGCCTTGCCCCACAGAAAAGAGTCATTTTCTGGAAATAGCACCACCTGCTGAACACCCCATGCTCCTCTCATGGAGGGTCCTGAGGCATGGGGTTTTTGGAGGGGACGTGTCCACCTCTGTGCAGAGTGATGCTGATGTTCCACGTGGCTTTGCCCCCACGCCATGGTCCAACAGTTCCAGAAGCTTCCTGTGACTTCACTGTGAGCTCCTCTGCTCTCAGGAAACTCGGAATAATCCTGGGGATAAACATACAAAAACAGCTGATGAAATCCCAGCCGTGGGATATAAACTCGCATTTCATCCCCCTGAGGACTCCTTGGCGGGCTCCTTCCCAAAMTCAGAACCAGCCAGAGAAACCTGCTGTTTCTCACTTGGTTTAAAACATATKTTGAGGTGGTATCTCGCCACTTCCACCTCGGCCAAAGGACCAGCTCTCCTGCACTTTTTGGCTGTGGAGGTTGCCCAGAGAGTTGGTGGCACCTCCTGCTCTGGAGATGTTGGCTCCTGTCCTAGGTGCTCCAGGGGACCTGCTGGAACAGGGGCTGGACTGGGAGGTCTCCAGAGGTCCCTGGTGACCTCCACTCTGCGTGGGGACCTTAACGTGACGGCGAGATGAGGCAAACACGGGGAAGGAGTGCGGTTTCCCAGAGGACAAAAGCAAACTGCCACGGAGAAGCAGGGGCCGCGCGCAGGTGGGGCAGGAAGGGGCCGCGGGCGCCGCTCGCCTCAGGGGGCGGCGGGCGGTGACTCGGCGGCGGGACCCGCCCCCGGGCCGCGCCGCTCCCCTCGGCGAGGCCGCGGCGGGCAGCGGAGCGGCGGCAGCGCGGCTCACGGCGGCGGGCGGCCGCCTCCTTCCCTCTTTCCCTGCCTTCCTTCCTTCCTTCCTTCCTTCCTCCGAGCCGGGCTCCGCGCGGGGCGCCGCCTGCCCCCGTGCCCGCCAGGTAGGTGCCGCCGCACAAAGCGGCGCCCCCGCGGCCGCCCGTGGGGTAGGGGGCCAGGGGGGCGTCTCGGCGCCCGCCGCCCTTCTCGCGAGGGAGCAGCCGAGGGTGGGAGCCGCAACAAAGGGGCCCTGGCCCTGCGCGGCCGCCGGGGATGCGCCCGCTCCCCGCGGCTGCCGGCGGGGGGCGACGGCTGCTGCCCTCCCGGGGGCGGTTCCTTCCCCGGCTGGGCTTTATTGTTATTTTTATTATTATTGTTATTATGCCGTGGGGTTTCTCGCTCTGCCTTCGCCTCGCGGGTGTTTTTGTTCGCGGAGCGCCCCGCGCGGGCCGCGGCCTCCCGCGCTCCCCCGGGAAGGGGGCGCGAAGCGGGAAGCGTGGCTGCCGCCGCCCGGCCCCGTCCAGCGGCGCCCCGGGATCGGTGTCCAGCCTCTGCCCGGGATCCGTGTCCAGCGGCACCCGCGGGCCCGCCGAGCGGCAGCACAACTTGGCCCGGTCCCACGGCCCGTCCCGCCGCCCCAGTCCCGTCAGAGTTTCCCCGCACATCCCGGAGCTCCAGGTTATCCTGAGGCCCGTGAATCCCATGGGTGAGCCCAGCCGCTCTCTGTGGGTCGCTGCAGCGTTCGTGCTTGCTCGTTCCTCACATTTACTCATTTATCCCGGCCCGGCGCACGGTGGTTGTGTCCGTGTGGTGCTCGGTCCCGGCTGGTCTCCGAGCAGGCTCCTGTCAGGGGAATTCGACTGGAGAAACACGCGGACTTCTGGCATCGGTTGTGAATTTGCAGACAGGCACAGGCAGAAAAACGAGGGAAAAACGCTCCCGAACAAGCCTGGTAGCGCTGCAGCGTGTAGCCTGCGCCGGAGCTGCCGGATAACTTCCCGGCAGCTGCGCTGGGATGTACATTTTTCACTAAACCCACAGCACCGCTAGGATATTGAACTTGGGTTGACTTGGCAGAGGAGTGTGCAGGAGCACTCGTCAAATGGGCTTTCCCCTGGGTGGTTGGAGGTGCGGTTGCTCCGTCTTTAACCTCTCGGCATGAACAGGGCACGGGGAATCTCTGGCTTTGTCGGTGGATGCTTTCCCAGCGACACCCGGCCGGGCAGCGTGTCCTGCGAGCGCGGTAGCCGCTTGCTYGCTGTCAGTGATATTTGCTCTGCGACAATAGGCGATTGTTTGCCAGGCTTTATTAAAAGCAACCACAAATGCCCTGTATCTCCCAGCACAAAGCCCTTCTTGTCCCAAAGCGACTGYGGGCCCATTTCACGCTTGGTGTCGCTCCGCTGATGTCAGGGGCGAGTTTTGGCAGGTGAAGTGTCACTCGTGTTTTGTCAGAGTCCAAAACACTTGAAACTAATTTTGCTATTTTGTGCTATATCCAGCACTTTATTATCATGAATGAAAGCATTTCACTGATACGTCTGAAAGTCAGGGGTAGCATGGGGAGCATCATCCGATCAGATCATCTAAACGCATCTAAATACTCTCTCCTCTCTCAGTTCTTATGTCCTTTAATATACCATCTTGCTTCTTTTTTTTTTTTTTTTTTCCAGTCTTGGCATCTTTATTTTCTCTCTTCCAAGTTAAGGAGAAGTTTCTGGCAACTCACCTGGGTCGCTTAAAGCTTTTGAGAGTAGCTGTATTGAACATAGTAGCAGCCCACCGCTGGGTAAGTGAGAAATGAGGGAGCAGCTGCAGTTCTGAGGCCTCTCCTTCCTTGCACACACACACATACGCACACACATGCCTCTTCTTTACGAGCTCGTTTGGGTGGTAACTGTCCTCACAGAGTTTGCTGAAGTGGCAGATTGTTTGACAGAGTCGCGTGGTGCAACAGCCAGGCCTGGGGAGGTGGAATAGACCAGTTGAGGGTGGGGAAATGTCCTGGATTTTCACCTGGTGACACACTCGGGAGGTTGAGAAACAGAAATGTTTTGGAATGTGTCTTTTTGTAATGTGTCTTTTTGTAATGTCAATAAAGAAGGAAAAAAGAAAGAGCATCTAAGAAAAAGTTAAAGATTAGGAAAGATGAGAGCAAACATTGTTTTTAGTAGTTCTGGGAAGAACAGTGGAATTAGTTAACTATTAATTGGCTTTAATAAAACTTACTTGTCTCTATGAAAGTTTCAGGAACTTTCAGATGGTGCTGAACTGAACTATGCTATCTTTGTAACCAGTTAGCAGTGTGAAAAACATGCAGCCAACCTGTAGGCCCTTCTGACACTGTGGCAGTCTTAAACAGAGCAAGTTTCAGTTCCTCGGCTTTACAGAATCTTTGCTGAGCGCTTTTTGTTTCTGACATTTGCACACTGTGCAAATACCTGTTCTGGTCTCACAAGTAGGTAAAAAGAACGTGTCAGATACAATTCCCACTGGTGCTTTTCTGGTATTTTTGGAAAAAGCAATAAGCAGGACCTGGTTTTTTTTTTTTTTTTGCGTGTGTGAGAGGAGGGGAGGAGAGCGGTAGAAATCCTTAATGCTTCTTAAAATCTGTAACTAGTTTAAAATGTATTCTAGTCTGGCCCACTACACAGGTGTTTGAGTATCAGTGGGAATTAAGATTTGCAAATTAAGGTGAAGTTGCAAGAAGTCTGCAGCTCCTCTGTCTTCAACAATGTGTAAGTTGGAGTTTAATAGAAGCCAACAGAAGGGTTCAGCTGTGGAAAGGTCGCAATCTAGTCTGAACATAAAAGTGTAAATTGAAGGGAAAAAGGTGTTCTTAATAGAATGAGAAACTCTTGGGCTAGAATTATGTTTCTCAGTGTTAGTTCCTTTCTCTGTGCTGCAAATTCAGATTGGTTTGTGCTTGTTACACACGTAGCTGCTGGTTTTGTGCAGCTCCTGTTCTGCTGYGGTGCGCAGAGCTGTGCGTGCTGCTCAGTGTGGTGATGCTCTGGTGGCAGAAATTGCCTGGGAATGCGTGAACAAGAAGTCTCGACACCTGTGAGAGAAGGAAGGATGTGGTCAAGCAGAACCATTTCTTCCTCTTTCCATACCACCTGAAACCCTGTTGGGGGTACCCGCTACCTCTGTTTCATGGTGCTGAGAATACTGAAGCTGGAAGTAATGTTCGTGGTTACAACACTGAGGTTAGTAGTTGACTGTTCCAGTTGCAGATTCTGTTGTAATCTTAAGCATTACTTTCAATACATGTTTCAAGTTGGCTTGAAACATGTGAAAAAAAGCTTCCTTTTTGTATTTAGGACTACACTATAGAGTCTTTCAGAGTTGAAAGGCGGGAAGGTTGCAGGTAAGGGAGCAGTGATGCCAAGTAGTATCTATAAATGATAAATGAATAAGCCACGAAGACTTGGTGATGTTTGTGTGCAATCATCTGTTCACTGGTACCCTCATAATTTTTAAATAACACTTCATATTAGCAGTTACTCTTGCTTTATTTGTTTGTTTTAGCCTGTAGTTGTCAGGGCAGGATTCRTAGTGTCTTAGTGCAGTTTGCACTGAATATGGAACTGTTCAGCTTGGAGGTGCTTGAGGCTGCCCAGGTAATTGAGTTTGCACAGACAGGACAAACATCCTTGATGATGACATCAAGGAGTACAAATGCAGCCTCTTTGCCTTGTTTTGTGCAATAGCTTCTGGATTTATTTATTAAATTTGTCTGGCAACATGAAGCCAGAACACTGTCTTTTGTGCAAGTACCTGCTCTTCTTGAAAGAGAGAAATAGTAGGTAGGAGCAGAGGAACAAATTCCTTCCATTGAGGTGAAGTACATTTTTCATTATTTTACCTTTATGCTGAAATTTGAGGCAATACGCCTGTATGCACAATAAATCTGAAATTCTCTGTTCTGTCCTCTGGCAAATTTTAGGCTCTTACATTTACACTCTATCTGTACCAGTTGCACTAGGGAGCTATCCTCAGAATGATGGAGTGTGGAGCTTTTCCTGGTAATAAGAAGAGGTTTAAGGGTTTGCCAGCAACCTTGTTGCTTTTTTAGTGGGAGGGATCTCAGCTTTTCTCTCTTCCCAAGATTTAAAGTTGCCTTTCCTGCAAGGTAAAAAATAAAATCCATGAATTCTTCAGAAGGAGATGTCCTCATGTTTGACTTCTTGGTAGAAGCAGTCCCTCAGCCCTCCATAAAGTTTCCCCTTTATGGAGGGGAAACAGTCTTTAAGATTATTTGGTATAGCGGAAAGGGAACCCGCATTGAGTTACTTTTGCTTATTTGGTTATTGAGGGTTCTCCTGTGTGCTTCAGGACGTTGAGTTCACCGTGTTGGTGCCAAGGGGTGCCAGCTGACTTGGAGTCCAGCAGCATCTGCTCTGAACTGGAGCCAATGAGACGCTGCCCCTCGGAGGTATTTCCACAGCAGTGGCATTTTGTGGGTCTTTCGGTGGGTTGGCAAGTGGGGGATGATGATGAGGAATAACAGAATGATTCTTTTCTCTCCTTGTATGTACAGTGAAAGGGCATTCATGTATATACACAGTCCTTTGTTCTGGGGTGAATAATAAAACAGAGCTAACAGCTCTGGGTATGCAAGATGATGTGGCAAGAAGTGGGTCAAGACTGTTCTTGTGTGCAGAAATGCAGTGCTGATCTAGGCCAGTGCCTGCGCTGGGTGCTTCCAAACAAGCTGGAAGGATTTCGGAGGAGCTGGAGTTCGTGCTGTCAGATGGGTGAAATGCCCCTCTCGCTGAGCAGAGCACTTAAGGATGAGGATCAGAATGGATGTTCTCGAGTCACTTTGTGTGTTAGTGTGACTGCAGGGGAAAAGCTTTATTATCCAGTACCTCTGGAGTGCAACGAATTTAGTTGGGGCCAAGAGGAGTTTCCTTTTTGCTGTCAGGGTGAGTTACTAAGCACCTGTGCTGCTTCAGCTGAAATGCTTTCCCTCTACCCCCATTTCTTTGCAAGTGTCACTAGGGAAAAAGATGCTTTGCAGAGTGTCCCCCTGCATTCCTGCTGCTCGTGTCCTCCAGACTTTCTGCTACAGCCGAGCTCCTAACTGCCCTTCAAGGAGGGGTGCCCAGGGCCATCTGTGCCCACACTCTTCCGACTGAACAAGGCATTAACTTCTTGGGCAAACATATTTGTCCTTTAGGAAATAACTTTTTAAAACYAGCATTAGAATTAAAGAAGCTTAATCTCTCTAAGAAACAGAAATGCCATGTAGCAGAACTCCTAAAGAGACAGTCCCAAAGAATTTACAGCCCTAATAGGGAAGGGATAGGGAGTGAATGGACATTAGAGATACGAAAGAGTGAAGCATCTTATTTTTGTGACATTAATTGAGGCTGTTTTGCACTGAATGCAACTGTTGATGAGTTAGATTTTTCTGAAACTTCCAGTGTGGGTGTATTTTTATGTACATAGGTACTTTRTTACTCATGTTGAACCCCTTACAGGATAAGTTATTCTCATTCTGCCTCATAGGAGTCTATACACATATACATTCCAGCTAGTTAAGATTTACATCTTCTCTGTAGAAGAACTGCAAAAAAAAGACATCTCCTCTACCTTGTAATCTGCTTCTAGGCAACAAAYAGGAGATACAGATCCAAGATGACATGTTCCTTTAATTAATGTAATCCATTTGCTAGTTTCAATTAAAAATTTATTGCAGGAAGGAGGAGCACAGGCAGACATCCGAAGTCTCATTTTCCAAGAAAACTGGGCATATAAAAAGCCTTAGACCARTGCTCTTTCACTAGAACATCTCTGTAATGGGTGTGACTTTTGTTGTGAAATTTTATAAGACTTCTGTATGATCCATAATGTTGGTGTATCTATAAAGCAACTAAGTAAAGAACTTTGTGGGAATAAATTAGAGGAGAGTATTTAAATCCTGAGAGACTTCTTGTTTGCTGTGACAATGRGTCACATAAGTACCCAAGCAGCTAAACTTCCTGATAAAATTACAGTTTAGGTATTTGTTTGGTGTCTTCATAATCCACTGCCATTTTTATAATGTTGTGCTAATAAAGCTCTCTGGGTCTGAGAACAACATTCCYCATTGACAAAATTTTTCAGTATCAATTCTTAGTAAAGTTGTTTTACTGAATGTTTTTTTTTCTCCTTTCTTTTGGAATTATACAAGAAAAAACACCCTCTAGTTGCAACACTGTGGTCTGTGTCACTTTTCACTGTTTCTCTGCATCCAAAGAAGGCTTTTTTTTTTTAAAAAAATGCTTAATTCTTTACACTGTCATCATATAGCAGCATACAGGGGGAGGCCTGTGTTTGTAAGGAACAGTTCTCTGCACTGAAAGGCAAGGGTTTACGARTGAGCTTTAAGGTAGAGAAATAGTGATTTCAAAGGAGCTTCYCCCTTCCAAATATTGGCTGAAATTGCATTAATAAGGAGTCCATCCCATGGAGTGCAGCAGGCATTGATAAACTGCGCTTCATTAAATGAAGGGGTTTATTTTCCCAACTCCTTCCTCTCTTTTTATTATTGCATTTCAATTTCTTTATTACAGGTAACACCACAACTAGTAGAATTTACTAGAAGAAGTATTTAAAAAAAAAAAAGCAAATTTGAGTCCCAGTGGTCTGTTCGATTAGTTTTGTTATGTCTAGTCATCAATCTCAGCTGATTTCCTAATCAATTGGATAATTGGCAAGACTTAAGACTTACCTTTAGCTGCAGAGTTACACTTTAAGGATTTTTTCCTTTCTTTCTAATAGAAAGTTGATGAGGAACAG